CACTGAAAGCAAGCGTTTGTTTCCTTTTTCGCCTTAATAATAGTTCGAAGCTCCCAATATTCCGTTCTTTATCCCCTTTAGTATTCCTTACAACCTAAGAAATTTTACTTTGATAATATGTACATCCTCCTGTATCACGCACATGTAAATGCTCCCTATTTGGTTAAAACATACTGTTTTACGATGAGGACAGTTGCATTCCATCCGACCTAATATCTTAAGACCGATGGACCAGATGGCGAAAGCGCCATTGTACTATTTATATTCTGGTAACCGTTGTTTATATACTAGTCATCATGGGGACGCACTCAGAGCGTAGAGCCTAGTTAAACCATGCCGGCAGACCGGCCGCACGCGCCGTGAGCACACGTGACGCCCGCCCCCATGTACAATTGAGATGTTTTAGGAACGTCTCGCAGCTTGGGAAACCACGAGTCAGCATGCACGCCAAAGCCACTGGCATGCGATAGGAGAGGAATAGTCTAGAAGGACTAAAGCCTTATAAAAGGCCGTAGTGGACACGCTACTTCATGCCACTGTCTCTGTACCGTCCTGAATAAAGGCTCGCAATCAGAACAGCATAAAAGCAGCGACAAAGGTGATAGATGTATCTGCAGCAGAAGCGATAGATGAAGTTGGAACAGAAGCCGAGGTTTCGCGTGACTGTACCGATAATTTATATTTCAGTTTAAGTATTCTGAAGTTTGAATGTAAGAGTGGTGAGGTGGTTGCCGTGAGAAACTGTTAGTGTTGTCGTTGTACCGCTCGTGGCTTAACTGGCCAGTTGTTAACTGAAGTAGGCGTGCTATTTCGCGCCTTAACCATTGGCGCGATGGAAATATAATATTTTATTGAGCTTTATAAGTACATTCGTCAATAGAGCCAGCGTGTCAATAATATTATAAATGGATATCAGGGCCATGTGACGGATATATTTGTCACGTGTTTTGAATGAATAACACTAGTATCCGTGATTTTGTCCGCTAATGTACCTACTTAGCAGGTCGACTGAGTCGGCGCATTCTGCTCGGTTAGCGCTTCTCTCAGTGTGAAATTCCCAGGCTGTTCACGGCTTGCCCAATCTCGCAATATCCGTTCGATTCTAGCGTCAGAATAGTCT